AGCAGAATTAGGAAGGCCTGATTTTACCCCTGCTTTCTGAGAATTGAGTCGCTAGAACCTCTTCAGTAATGTGGCTGAATACAGCATCCACTTATATACACGGTTTCCAATTATCATTTGAAAGCAAGTAAAAATAAGCGAGTCATTGGAAGAGGTAGTGTTTGCGTTGGCAAGAGATGGCTTTATATAACTAGTCTGACTGCTAATAAACACCTCAGTGAAGCAGTAGCAAGTCTTATCTTGTCATTAAGCACAGAGCACAGCATTAAAACAGGATGCGTGCCTTTCCGTGACGCACGGAGGATTACGCAATGGTGGCTGGGATCACTGTTTAAAAGGAATCGCAGTTGTCACTTTTCATATTGAACTATTGCCTATAATGGAGTGTGGGGAGATCACAGAATTATTCACAGATGCTTTATGTTCAAATACAGTAGTTTCAATCGTGGTACATTGCTTGCACAAATTGCTCGTAAAGCGGACCTTTACACTGCAGTATGGAATATCTAAACAAAAAACATTCCCATAAGCATTGATTAAATGAATTAAACTAATTTAAAGTGCTTTATCCTCTTTTATAAATACTTTTTTGTTTAAATTTCGACACCGCACTGCAGTGGGCGGCCATGTTTGAAAAGGGAAAATCTGCTCCTTTCGTGCCTTCTTCTTGCGTCAGCAAGGTAAATAATTTAAATTTCGGCACCGCACTGGGCGGCCATGTTTGAAAAGGGAAAATCCGCTCTTTTCGAGCCTTCTTCTTGCGTCAGCAAGGTAAATAATTCATTATTAACCATGGCCACACACCCTTCTGACAATGCTCTGCTATTCTTCTACATGCGCATATGATAAAACAAAACTACCGATCCACAGTGCATGCTGTAAAGAGTAATCTTGCAAGATCTCGCTGCCAGTTTCAGTTTTTTCATGAACAAAATCTAATTTCAATGACAAAGCAATCCCAGTGTGCATTGCTTAGGCAAACTGAAGTAATTTACACTTTCAGTGCAGGAAGTGAATGTTCTACAAGTGTAAGCATTTCAAAATCACAGCATTTTACACCTGACAGGTCTATGTTATTATTAATCAGCATAGATAGAGGGATGCATTGGTGGGATTTGAGTCCTGAGTGCAAAAGTGCTTACATTTCATTCTTTATATAAACATTTTAGGAAATATATGTGTGTGTGTGTGTGTGTGTGTGTGTGTGTGTGTATATATATATATATAAGTAAATAAAATATTTGTTTGAGGGTTCTTTGTTTATGTAACAGATTATTATGACCACCCCATCAGTACTTTGTTGGGCCAACAGATGACTCCACGAGATGACTTCGTTGGGCCGCCTCGTGACTCCACGAGATTGGTTGTTGGTTTGGTAAGTTTGATTCATATTTTTTTTCCCCCTCAATTTCATGGGATATTTGTTAATGTACTAAGAGATTTTGGACATGGAGGGGGGAAAAAAATCTAATAAAAAGCACCTATGACCGCAGAGCGCCTCCCTTTAGCAGAGCAAGCATGTAATAAATCGATCGGTGCCAGCTCTGGGCTATAAAGAGGTGAC